CCCGAAGATAACTGAAAAAACAAACAAGCAAACTCTACAGGTGGTAACTGCAGCATCTAATAGATATTCAATGTATTGCATAGAGCTAATTGTATTTGGGTGTTGCTTTTGGCTTTTGGTTATAAATGTATCATGAAGGAAGTGAGAAGGTGTGGCTAATGTGCTCATTTGTTTTGGTCTGTGCTGTGGCTCTGAAGTTGTTTATGCTGTATATCACCTTTAAAACAAAGAAAACCTGTGGAAAAGTATCATCATTCAATAATGGGAATACTGTAGAGCTCAATCAATCATTCATTTCACCTGAACAAAAACCCCATCAAATATGTTCTTTTTTTTTTCTCCATTGAAAACATTTACCTTGTTGGAAATCCAGAATCATGCTCCCATAATAATACAGACTCTGTTGATATTTTTTTAATGGGAAAAGTTTAAATGTTGTTTAAAAGGCATCTGCTAGTCCAGTGTAAGGATCAAAGTCTGACAATCCAAGGTGACTTAAAGGTGATCGAGTTATTTACATAGTCCTGAGGAATAACCATTTACATATTCCTCAGGACTATGTAAATATCTTCCAAACTAACCTAGAAATGCCAAAAGGAAGTTTATTTCAAAGGGAAATAATGAAAAAAGGAGCTTTACAAACAATATAATCTGCCTGTCTGTGGATAAAATAAATACACCATGGTGTGTATAATCGGTATCACTAAGCGCACAACCACAAACTGTTGCCGCAGGGCCTAAAAGGAGATAAATGTGGCTGTGGCAAAGTTTGATATTACTTACTTTAAGAGTAAAACCTCATAAAGGAGGAGGTAAACTGAAATTGGGGTTTAACCTTTTAAAGGGGGATTTATTGCACCCAAATAGACAGTTTTCATCTGCAGCTGTGTCCTCATTAAGCTCAAATAACACAGTTATTCTGAAAGGCTGAAGGCTCTGTAGGAACTGATGTACAGCAACATGTTGGCCTTTATCCACAAGCAGTTTTATGTTCCCTTGGCCACATTTATGGCTTAATGAGTCAGACTGGGAGCTTATTTTCTTGTTGCGCCTGACTCTGGCAATCCACATTTATTGGTTTCCTTTTACCCCCATTGACCTTTTGGCAGGATGAAATCTAATATCCAAAAACAAACTTTCATTTTTGTTTCTGCAGCTGAGCCAACTGATTATGCAATTCTCCATTTTTAGGGTTACAGCTCTGTGCCCTATATATAGTAAGCACTGGGACAATCCACTGTGAATTGCTTTTTTGCTTTTTTTTAAATTTACATAAAAAAAATTCTTTCTATCAATTTCTGGCATTTAATTTATTTCTTTTTATATGTAATTTCTATAATTATATTTTTTACTTCTTTACTAGTATTTAGAATTTGTGAATTTTTAAAAATACTTTTTATCTTTTACTGCAAATGTAACTATTTTTGTTTTAATTTTTTAAATTAGAAATTTGTAAAAACTACCCAAAAGTGAGATGCTGCAGTTGAACACCTGATGGCGCAATATTGGCAGGGACAAAAGAAAGTGTCGAAGAAGAAGAAGAAGAAGAAGAAGCCGGAGTTTTGTCGCGCAGTGCTGACACTCCTTCCGATTCACGGCATTCGTGAAATCAAACCTTTCTGTCTGTTTGCAGTTCACCGTAAGTGACGGCATTTTATGGCAGCGTTGGACGCTAAAGACGGCGGCCAGCTGCGTGACAAACGGCGGGCAGAGAGAGTGATGAAGGCGGCGCGGTGTGGAGTCCTGTAACGGCTGCACCATGATCCCCGTGTCCCTGCTGGTGTTTGTGATGGCAGGCTGGTGTGCTGTCTATCTGGCGGACACGCTGCTCAGGGTGAATATTTGCCTTTTTGTTTTTCTTCCTGCTCAGCAGTCTGTCAGCTAACGCACGTGAATGGATTGAACCATTAGAAGGTTTGAGCTGTGGGCACTCGTGTAAACAGGCCAGAGCAGCCCTGGAACCGCTGGAAACCCCGCTATTAAACACATTACGGCCATTACTTCACAATGTCTGTCCATGAGATGCGTTTAATGCTTAAAGTGAGCAGAAAATGTGGGAAATGTAAGACCCTGTCTATCTTTAAATGCTATCAGAGTAAACTATAAGCGAGTACCTGCAGTAGTATAGAGTATAACTCAGGATTTCCATGTATCCTGGAAAACCTGGCAACCTAGAGATCTGCTCTCTAACCCTTAAAATTTCGTGGAATTACAAAGCAAAACACAAGTAAACAAGGAAGAAGAGAGTCCAAAGGTGCAGCGCAAAAAGATATTAAAATCAGGTACAAACAAAGAGGAAATGTGCCATTCACAATAAAAACAGCAGGGGATAATTATACTGTAGCATTATTAGTGTGGAAGCACATTCAAGGATTAGTGAGAAAAAAGAAAGAAAATTTGTTATTAACCTATTTTTTTTTAAAACTGAGACATCCATCAGGGCATCCGTCCACTTATTAGTTTTCATTAACTGGCTATCCTAATTGGTGTTGCAGGCCTGCTGGATCCTATCCCAGCTATTAGTCATATATTTCGACTTTAAAAAACTATAACTGGGTGAGCAAAATTGAATTTATTTAGGATTTTCTTGACTCGACACAGGGTTTGGTTAAATGACCCTTAGCAAGTTGCAGTTGAATCAGACACTTTTGCTAGCCAAAAGTATATCCCCATGTAAAAACATGTAACATCTTGTCAGATCTAAAGATACAGAGGAGCCAGTGAATGAGGCTTGTAATATCAACATCTGCTCAATTTCAGCTGCATTTTGAACAGTGTACAGATGAGTTAATGAAGACTTTGAAAGCCTTTAAATATCACTGTGAAATCAATTTTAATGTTCAGTGGAGTTTAAATCCCAGTTTCAGATTTGAGAAGTCTTCGTTTTATTTATAAAACATAAAAACCTTATTTCCTACCAAGTTAGAGGCAGTCTGCGGCCTCATTTCTGAGCTGTTTTGTGTGTAAACTATTTCAGTCGGTCCTCCTCCCTCGACTTT